AGAAGAAATTAACCATGATGACAATGGTAAGGCAACGATCGAAGAAGGGCAACCCATAGATTATGCATCGGAAGGCGAGGCTGACCGAAAGGCAGAAGATGAATCTAATGAAGAGGAAGAAGAAATTAAAGATGATCAAAATGTCGATGGCGAAAAAGCAACGGAAGAAGGTCAAGTTTCAGGTCATGAATCCGAAGGTGAAATCGATCAAAAGACAGGAGATGAACCTGAAAATGATAAAGATGACAAAGGTGAACAAGAAATCGATGATAGCAAACACTTGGATGAAGAGCAAGAGAAAATAAATACTGAAGAAGACCATGGCATCAACGGAGAGAAAGTGATCGAAGAAGGGCAACTTTCAGGTCGTGAATCTGAACATGAAGAGGATCAAAAGACAGAGGATGAGCCTACCAACATTCACGATGATGACGAGAACAGACAAGAAACTGAGGGTAGCCAACATGCAGATCAAGAGCAAGACATAAATAATGACGATCAGATCGATAACGAAGCAGAAAGTAATGTTGTCATCTCTGAACAAGATCGTATTCGTGATGATGAGCAGCAAGAAATAATCCATGATGAGCCCGATGATGCCAATGACAACAGGACAAATGAGGAAATTGCTGATGATGAACATGATCAGCAGCCACAGATGGTCGCTCATGATGAGCATGGCAACGCTTACTTAGTAGACCATGATCAAGACGATCAATTAATAGCAAATGATGAACATGGTGGTATTGAAAATTCTGATCCATCAAACAGAGGACTTGTTTCTGATGAACACGGCAATGCGTATGCAATAAATCAAGAGGGAGATGGCCACGATGTCGTTTATGATGAACATGGCAATCCATACGCCGCAGAGTCGAACCAAGATACTCAACATGTTGCCTATGACGAGCACAATAACGCATACGTAGTAGATCCTCAGAGTGAACAAGTTGCTTACGATGAACATGGAAATGCATATAACGTAGATCCCTATCAAGATGGCCAGCAGATCAATTACGACGAGCATGGAAATGCTTATGCCGTCGATCCTCATCAAGATGGTCAGCAGATCGCTTACGACGAGCATGGAAACGCCTATACCGTAGATACGAATCAAGATGGCCAACAGATCACTTATGACGAGCATGGGAACGCTTATACCGTAGATCCCCATCAAGAGGCTCAACAGATTCATTACGACGAGCATGGAAACGCTTATACCGTAGATCCTCATCAAAATGGTCAACAGGTTACTTATGATGAGCATGGAAACGCTTATGCCGTAGATCCCCATCAAAATGATCAGCAAATTACTTACGATGAACATGGAAACGCTTATGCCGTAGATCCCCATCAAAATGGTCAACAGGTTACTTATGATGAGCATGGAAACGCTTATGCCGTAGATCCCCATCAAAATGATCAGCAGATTACTTATGATGAGCATGGAAACGCTTATGCCGTAAATCCCCATCAAAATGATCAGCAGATTACTTATGATGAGCATGGAAACGCTTATGCCGTAGATCCCCAACAAAATGATCAGCAGATTACTTATGACGAGCATGGAAACGCTTTTAGTACAGATCCAGGTCACAACGGTCAGCAAATTACTTATGATGAGCATGGAAACGCTTATACGGCGGCAAATCCCTACCAAGATGGTCAGCAGATCACTTATGACGAGCATGGGAACGCTTATACCGTAAATCCCTACCAAGACAGTCAGCAGATTACCTATGACGAGCATGGAAATGCTTATACGACCATAGATCCTCATCAAGAAGATCAACAGATCACTCATGATGAACACGGAAATGCTTTTACTGCAGATGCTCATCAAGATGATAGTCAGGTTATCTACGATGAGCATGGTAATGCTTATGCAACATCTGACGCACAAGGTAATGGATTTGGACAACCATCGAATGAAGAAAATCAACACATAACTTATGATGAGCACGGCAATGCTTATGCTATCAATCCTAATCAAGCTATTGAACCTGCAGGTTACGATGAGCATGGCAATCCATATGTTGTCGATAATAATAGTCAAGATTATCAGCAACAAATAATGCATGATGGAAACAGTAACGTATCTGAATTAGGTGGCAATCAAGATACTCAGCAGGTAACTTATGATCAACATGGCAATACCAATGCTATCGATCCTAATCAAGTAAATCAGCAATTAGATTATGGTAAGCATGGTAACGCCTATGCGACAAACCCTAATCAAGTTAATCAAGAAATAAGATATGATGAACCTAATCATAATAGTCAAAATATTCTTTACGATCAGAACGGAAATGGTTTTACCACTAGTCATAATTCAGCTTATAATACCCAAAATATCGCCAATCAGCAACGCCAATAGCCTAGATTCAGCCATCAAGCTATGTTACTAACGTCAATTCTCAGTAATAGTTTGGAAAAATTAAGCGACCACATTATTGATCACTAATCATTATCCAATCTAATTTGCAAACTGCCAGCAATAATGGAAATACATACTCCTATACGAGCACTAGCCATGATCATCAGCTTCTACTAAACAGTCCTAATGCTAAAGTTAATTCCTGATCCATCTGCTATTTTCAACCAATCTAGAACGCTATACTTTAATTAGACTCCCAACCTATTGTAAATAAACAGTTTCTAGCAATCTACGAATTTTATAAGACGGACATAATAGATCAAGATGCAGTTGTTTAGAATTCTCTGCCAAAGTAAATAATTCAATGGGATAGCTAAAAAGCTGGCACCGAGTTGGACTTTAGCAAATGGATGATATAGAATTTGATGCACACGAAGAATGTTTGACTAAGATCACAAGACAAAAGGAAACTGTCAGGCATATTGAATTTTGTAGATAATTTGGCTGATATTCCAAGATAACATTAACATTTTTAATGGCTTCTAATAATTAATCACAAATTTAGCAGTATAGATTAGACTATAATATGATGTATTACATCTCTATCAAGCCATTTAAATAATTAATAAGGCAAACATCTACTCCACAGTCCCCAAGTGGCGCTAGATGGAAGATGTAAAAACTAAATTGCATGAAGCATAAAATATACATGTCTAGCGAAACAAAGGTTGTTTTTTGTATTCCTATTGAATATCTCAATTACATACCGTAAATGATCATTCTGATTCTAAGCGTTGTTTATAATTATTAGATTAATGTCACTACTGCAGCTACAGTTATAGTCTTTTATGCTAACAATTTTGTTCATATATATTATATATGATCATGACATGCAAGGTTTTCTACATGAATATAGTTTATCTTTCAATGTATTTTCTTTTTTTTTTATACTTCTATCCATATGGATAACACACGGTCTCGTGTGGCTAATTCTCCAAATTCTATGTTTATCTAATATTTAGACCTAAACTAATATACTTTGGAAAGACGTACCTACAATTTACAGAAAAATTTTAAAACATATTTTTTGATACGTTCTAATACAAGCTGTTACGAGAACTTTATGCAGTAAGTGTAGATATCTGAACACAGTAAATTTGTATTTGCTATCTACTATTGTTTAGCTATTTGAACAGTGCGAATGTAGCCTATATTCGTGGCTAATAGCAATATGTTGCAAAAAAGCATTGCTGTAAAGTATATTCTTTATGACTGATTGAATCGAATAGCAGCTATTTTATCTAAGGCCTTCTAGCTTAGAAAGTCATAATCTTATTAGTAAATTGTATATTATTACGTCATAGGTTAATATTGGCTGAAAGCTAAGCCAAAATCTGCGCAATCATATTTGTAATCTTTGCAATGACGAAATTACTTCTTCGCAATGGAGTGATTTAACATAAAATATGTTTAATCGGTAAAATTTTGGATAGGTTATTAAAATTACTGTATATGATTTTGCTATACAGATTATAAATAAATATACATATGCAAAATTTTTATGTACGGCAATGTTTTATAACTCTTGTAAAGAAATTAACAGAACCAAGTAGTTTTGTTGATTAGCCGCTTCTATGAAATCTAGTCTTTGTAAAGGGTTAACATGTTGCTGTATAAAGATATTTATTGACCACATCACATTAAATTCTCGCACTTTGAAACCTTAGAACTTATCGCCAACGTCATTACTAAACAGGTACTGTACACTATGTTTAGTAAAATTACTTATGCTTAGATCATAATCAGCGACTACTCAACTAAGAATTCTCCCTCAAATGTCATATTAGATTGCATGTTGGAATATCTGACTATACGCGTATACCTTATTAAATTTCTAAATTTTTAGATATCTTGGCTGTTATTGACAATCAGCATACTCCTATTGATAGCCCAATACTGATAGCGTTTTTAGGAATCCAATGAAGGCAACAAGTATAAAATGTTAATAGGCACTTTATTACTCCATTTACTCGCATACCAACTGTTGTAAATTCTAAGTTTACGTTAAAATATCAATCATTTGTTACAGTAACAGCAATAATAGCGATTCCTAGAAATAATTTGAGCTAATTTCGTACTCGGACCTACCAGTAAAATATCTAACAATAAATAAACTTAACAAGCTGCACACCGTAACATTTGTAGCATCTAAAAGCTGCAGAATGCGGCAAGCAGTAAATGTAAATAAAACCTACGAGACTGAAAGTTACTAAAATTTTGAATATTATCTAAAATATCATATGACATGGTATACAATACAATCACATCCTGAAATCTCTCCGTACAAATCTTTTTACCATCATCGTATCAGAACGCAGTATTCTAGACTTAATTTAATACTCGTGCTATTCGCGCATTTATATGAATAGGTAGCATGAAATTTACAATAATTCTAAAAAATGTTACTAAACTTACAATTATTCGTTAGATGTGTCAACAGTACGTTTCTTAAAGTTTATTATCAGTGCTATAGGATTAGCATTTTTGCCTAGTACAAATAATTACATCTACTCTGTATACATGTGCATATCATGTATCACAAAATTAAAGTAAACCAAGTCACTTAACTTACATCAACTAATAAAACAGCTGATACTTCTAGTATAGATAGGTTTGTAGTTTAAAGAATATAAAATATATTACTTATTTAGCTTCTCATGGCATGAAATACCGTAAACTATACGTGATTGTATAATTACTTACAATTGAATACGCCACAAGTATTAAAAGATTGATACATTACTTAATTATATCTCAGCAAAGGATGCAGCATTGTTCTGTCTCATCATTATTATATATTTTATAAAAATTTTGATATCAGAAAACAAATTTCTGCTATCTTCAAGACACATTCTGAGAAATGTATGTATGTTTATAAATTTAAAACAATTCACTACGGCATAAATTCAGATATTCCGTAATACAGGCAGATCGTTTGTAAATTCACTCATATGTTATGATTTCAATGGATCAAATTCTGATATACCTGGAGTAGCTGTGGTATTATTAGCAATTGTAGGTTTTAGTACAGAACTTGCTGGAGTAGTAGCCATACTAGCTCGTTTGTAAATTGCAGCAGGGTTTGCATTAACACCAAACGGAAGCGCACTCATCATATGTAATGGGGCAGGAATATCTGAGGCAGCGGGAAGACTTGTTATTTGACGCCTTTTTACAATCCTAGAGTCAAGATCATCCAGTGCCGTGGTATTTCTCCTGGTATCATCATATGAAATATACTGCTGCCTTGCCGTTGATGCTTTGGGGCGTGGCCTAACCGATATAGAATTTTGGGCGGTCACTGGCGGCTTTTTCGATGGTATTGGTGGTGGATTTCGTAAGGGCAAGGGATGCAGTTCTTTAGACGTCGCAATACTGCCAGGCTCATAAATTTTAACGCTAATCCTTTCTTTATGACTATCGCGCTGTCTCCGTGAATGAGCGGCTTCACTTGCCATTTCAGCAATATTAATGCTGTCAACATCTTGTCTATCTGCAAGGGCGCTACTTCCATACCGAAGTTCCATAAAATTAGGAACCGATCTATTATAATTCTTTTGCAAAGATGATGGACTATCAATTACTACATATTCATCAAATTCAGCTATTAAATTTTCATTATCGGTCGTATTAGGAGGAGGCCTTAAGGCACCGGAAGTAGCAACTTGATCAGCTTGATTATTATCATCGAGGTCTATAAGCTTGTCTACGGAAGTAGTTGATTTCATCGTTTCCCTGGATGCATTAATATCAGTAGTACCCTATAATATATTAGCATTTTATAAAAATGTTACGATAGAAAATCCAATATTTCATTAAATTGCCCAATTAGGGCAGACAATGGTATAATGAACAAACGAAATCAATTAACATACAAATTTATATTCAGGAATAGGGTCTACATCAGAACTTAATAATTCAATTACGGGTCTCGCACCGCGGCTGTCAAGTTTTTTCAGGTTTCGATCCCTAGGGGCAGATGTCTCAATTGGCTGCGGAATAACAGATGAAGTTTTAGATTCAAAAAACTCACATCATCGAGTATTGTATCGAAATCTAAAACTGTAATGGCTATGTCATACTGAAGTTCTGCTAAATTTCTTTATGAAAGCTGTCGAAAATGTTCCCGCTGCTTTGATAACATTTTGCGAGGATGCCTAAAAAGCAAACAATATCTTTAATCCACCATAATACTCTATAATCTAGTCCATCTAATAACAAACGACTACCTTAATCGCTGCCATTGTAAGATTTAACTGTAAGAAAATAAAAATTGAATGATCATTTACGAATATGCTAATTTAGATTACTTTCAAAAATTTTGCCATACCTTAGTGGAGCTTTTAACGTATGTATCAAAGAAGTCATCAATAACCGTTCTTGATTCATTATTATAAATTTCCAATCTTTCCGCTATAAACTGTAGAAGAATAGACTCCTTAAGTACATTGCAGCACAGAGATAGAAGTTACCAATTTGCAAGCCTCATAATATAATCAAATTTAAAGTCGTTAACTTGTTGAAATTGTTGTAACTGTGTCACTTTATCCATGAATGGCTTCAAGCTTTGATTTAATCCATGTAAAAAACTGCGATGTAGGAAAGATATCAGAGTTATGACATTGGCAGCCGGAATCAACTATAGCTATCAAAATCTCTGTCGAACACACAAATAAATTACTTACAATTCGCGATTAAATTCATAAATATTCTTCTCTTCCTACGTAAATAGAAAGGGTAGTCACCAATTTATTGTACTCATATGAATACTCTATAATTTCTCTTCTAAAAGAAAATTTACACACTATTACTAACATCTATCATAATAGCATCTTTATAAGACCCAAGTAGTAATGCGAAGACATCGAGAAATGCTCTAGGAATTGTATCTTCTACCATAGCGTCACTTCGTTTCAAAATACTTTTTAAATGATGTACCTAAAATAGAATAATGACTCAATATATTCATTTAATATTTTATAAAAATGAGTAAGTATGGAGTCGCAATAACTAACCAATTCTTGCGGAAGAGCATTTAAATCTTTGTCCGGTAATTCCAATTTATTTTCATCTACATTTAAGATTACAACTTCGCTCAAAGGCCTCCTTCTTACATCCTAAAACGGATATTAATTCATACCGTCAAGGCTAAGAAAAAGGTTTAAATCTCGCTTCCTTCACTTTAAACTGGAAAGATTTACCTCCATTAATGACGAGTGAACACCAATCAGAAAAGGCATAGGAGCGCTAAAATACAAATTATTTCGGTATTAAAAAGTTTGTATTGTAATTAACATATACATAGATAAATTTAAGTGTTAAACATACATGCATCGCATATGCCGTACATCACTTACCAACAGTAATCAATTAAATGCGGTGGAAGTACAGGAATGAAGATATGTTGCCTAAAAATATCACGAACGATCTTAGTTTAAGGAAAATTTTTCCTTCAATACTATGTGTATACACATTATAAACAAGACCATTTACCAGTACATTGGATAAAGAAGATTTGCAGCACTGTATACACAAGCAGTAAGCTACAGTAAATATAAAATAGTTAATTCGTATACACAGACCGGATGTCACCAAGTGATCAACTAAAATTATCCAACATAGATGTAAATGCTATGAGTTGACTAGCTAACCAATTTTAATCGGGAAGACGTAATAAGAATTCTTCTTTCATGAAGCAAGCTAAAGTATAAATTACCATGGTTAATTTCGTAAGACACCGTATTTTAGAAGAAGCTGATAAAATCGAAAATTATCTAACCACGCAAATAAATGCAGTATGTTCGCAGGTTGTACAGCACAAACGAAATCTGTCAAATTACGCTGTATAAAATATAGCAACATTTAATTATGTGAATAAGAATATTTACTCACTTAAGTTCAATGAATATGCAATAAATTGTTTACATACGTGTCTAGGTATAGAATGTAAGGCATACGGATCAGGGATTTCTAGAGCGAGTTTCTACAATAATATAAGAAAAAGTAATATCTCATTTCATATATAAGAATAAATAGATTAGCTTTTGTTACAGCTTAATTCCGACTGTCACAACTGCACCATTAAACTATTCTACAATCCAAATATGGTGCCGGTACATCCATACGCACTTCTATTACATTTTAATTTTATGTACTTCACATAATTGTATTCTCTATTACAAAGGATTACCATACTTTAAAAATTATGGTTTATTGTTAACAATATTAGACAGGTCATGAAATTGTAGCAATTGCTGAACCATTGTAGTGCTTTTGGGTATGACAATTAGTGCTAGCTGCATTTAAATTAGTAACAGTGAATAGAATAATAACACATCGCCCAAATATATGGTTTATAGTACATAAGATTATGTTTATGTAACGTGAGATTCTACTTGGTGCAGTAAAGGGGTACCACGAGCAAAGTTACAACTGGTATTTTCTTTTACTGTAATGATCACACAGTTATTAGCAATAATAAGACTACTTCAACGAGACGAACAGTAAGGAGATTTCCTAATAATGTACTGGCTAATGCATTTCATTACTGAGATGATTGCGCTAACATGAACAACAATGGATTGCATTATTACCGGAAATAACAATATAAATTTTTTATACGATAAGGACAAATACGCATACTGTACAGTTAAATATTTATTCATACCGGACTGGACCCATCGTTTGGCGCAAATGTGATATTTCTTATCGATGTAGCAGGTACTGGAGTTTCGTATATAATGTTTATAAAATCTAGAGCAAGTTGCACCTGCAAAAAAAATCACATCAAGCTTAGATTGGTAAAATATCACAGATAAATATAAAATACGATTTATTAATTATAACATTATGTCTTTTATCATGTTTATACTTGTCCTTTCCAGTAATAATCGCCAATAAAATTTAATATCTTGTAAAAGTTGTCAAACCATGGCAAGTAGCTAACATACATACAGTAATATAAATGAGGTTATAACGATCGGTGAATTACATGAGATAAATTCTTTATAATTTCTGTTCAGTAAGGGTATACCTAATAATGCATAAGCACACATCAGCATTAGAAGGAAAACGGCAAAAACCGAAACGGTATTTTCCTTCACCATCGGTCAAAGTGAAAGTAAAATGTTGGACATGTCCCGCATTTCTAAAGAGTAATAGCATAAAGTTAATGGCATCCTTGATAATAGTTTATATAGTAAATTTAGATACCGATATGGTTTATCTGATTTCTAAGAACATCACATTACGATATCGTTAATCTGATATATGAATATTATTATGGATAAAAATGACTATCAGAAATTGTACAGTACAGTATGTATTAATTGGTCTTAAGTTGACATATTACACGCACACTCACACAGTATGTAGTACTGCAAACTGAATACTGTAACACCCAATCAAAGTACATGAGATACTGATAAATTGCTGCAAAGCTTCGCAGCTGAAACCGATAATACACTATTTTTCCTGTTTAAGAAATAACAAACCGTTCAGTTTTACATGGGAAGCAAAACGGTGGTACAGAGCGTAATATTTCCTACAATGTAAGTAGAGATTTTAATCAGTTAGAAAATACTACATAATTCACGGTAATTATAGCAATATTACATGGAAACTAGAGTAGAGACTATAAGATTTCATGCCTCACGTATAGCACGTGCAGTGACTGTGTTTATCTCGCTATCGAAAATTATCGCAATTTCTTGGCAGCAGCGCTCGTGATCAATTGGAACCGACTAAACGCTATGTTTGTTTTTCTAGATTTTTAGGTAGTTAAAATTCAAAAGACTAAATAATATAGCTGGACTATTGAGCAAAGGATTGAAACCTGAGAATGGAAATCTAAACCTTAAAATGAAATATATAAAGTATTGGTACAGAGACAAGTAAAATTTAATGACTTTAGATTAACGTAAAGAATTGTTAATGACAGAAATTACAGTACTGTAAACCGCTGGATGTTTTAAGTCTAGTTAATCGCGATCAATTTAGACTTGTCACTTTATTTGGATATAAATTTACCTGATCGTCATAATTTGGTGGATAGGTAAGGACAACTTGATGATTTTTTTCTAAAAATATAATAATATAATTAATTAATGAATGAAATGCATAGCAGGGGGACTATACTAAACGATCACTGTACCGTGTCATAAGACATCGTTTACTGTTATTTTGCAGGTAAACATGGATAAGCTTGATTTATCCATACGTAATGAATAGTTTGTTATTAATAGTATTTGAGGATAACTGTGATAATAGCAATAAAATATTTTCGATTCTTCTTTATTATTGTTGCGTCGTTTTAAATTACTAATTCTATCGATTAAGCTATTTAACGTCTATCATTCGATTGGCATTGCATTGGGATTGCATACCATATGTACTTTTTTAGGTTTACTAATTTATAATTTAAATAAGCAACGCTAGTAGAAATCGATGAAGCATAAATACAACTATTACTATTCCTACGCGATCATTACTAAATGAATAAACTAAAGACATAGATCTCCATTTTTTGTTGTTGATATCGCTGAAGCAATCTCTTTACTTTCGATCATTACTGTAAAAAAATTGTAGTTTTCGATTGAAAGTGCTGTCGTCTCTGACGAACTTTGTCTACGATGAGCTCTTCCAAAAGTTTCTCACCTACCTGAAGTGGGTTTTACTTACACTATATTTGTAATTACGTTTTACTAAGCTATCCTTTACTGTAATTTAGATCTGGCAATTACTCTCTAGTTTGACTGTGTGATCCGTTATTGTATGAAAGAGTTACGTGTCCAGTCGTTACAAGGAGGCAAAGAACTCTACAACAACTCTACAAGGTGTAATGTACTTTGTATACGTTATTTACTACATCTATACCGCATTACACTAGATACTTTTAGCATGACTTACTATCGTCACTTTGATTCCTGGCAACTTCCAAGAAACACTCAAAGATTCGTTTAGGATTCCTCCTAGATAACAATTGCACAATCCAATTGAACCTTATCCAGTCTCTACCTTACCAACACTGAAATTGATTTGAAGAAACCTTACCGAAGCCGACAATCCATTTAGAAGCTATTTTTGATTAGCCTATAATCTACTTTACTGTCAGTAAAGAATTGGATCCAACAAGTGTATCTTGCAGCATCAGATGTTCGAATTGTGATTCTATGACAAATAGCTTCTAAAAAGAAGTCTACAATGTTAGAGGAATCGTTGCCGAAACTCCTTTTCTCGGCGCAGTCAAAATGGAAGCAATGTTAGAGTCGAGTCGACAGCACCCTAGTTAGAAATCTTTGTGTGCTGCAGTACTATCCGATACAGACTACTACGGTGCCAGAGGTCAAAGATTGCTGCTGGAAATATGGACGGAATGCTAGACACTCCCTTAACACAATATTAGCATAGTACACCTACAGTCCATGGCAGTACACACTGTACTGTAGACACTACACAGTACTGTACAGTACTGTACAGTATGAAATGACAGCACAGTGTACAGTATATGGACTCCTGTACTGTACATACGGTGCTACGCCTGCGCTATAGAAATGGCTTCTTCTAATGGAGTAGTGCCAGATAGTTTGGAAGTGATTAGCAACATAACTTGCAGTATAACTTTCACGACACAGTAACAAATAACTGCAAAATGAGTTAAGAATAGACGAGAATAGACAAAAACCAAAGAGTGACTTTAAGAATACGACTTTTATGAGGCGAAGATATTTAAGAGATACACGTGTACTGTTTACTCACCAATTATAGGGGTGCTGTCGTAACCTACTTTGGATGAAAATGATTAGAATAAGTTCTATTTGTAGTCGCAGTTGTAGTTAGAACTTTTACTACATAGTAAAAAATAACTGGAAATGATAGTTAAGAATACACCAACATTTACAAAACCAACAGTTGCTGCCACTTTAAAAATACGATTGTATTCAGATTAAAATATTTAATAGTCCATTTGCAGCTAGGCGGATTTGTTATGGAGATGAATTACCTCGATACCTCGCCAATCTACTTTCCTTTAAATTGGCAGTAAGTGATCGCAGGTGATGACTTATCCTTGTCTTTTATGCCTGAATGTAATCCTAATTTATATTCGATGAACCAAGAGTCATCATGATATTGAGTAGGTATATGCCTTTAGCGCACTATAAAAATCATGATTTTGATCTTCATTGACACCTACATTTATCCCTTTGCTATTATAGTAAATACCAAGCCATGAATGCACGCTTGTTTAAAAGGGACGGCATAGCAGTAGCTCCCTGCCTCTTTCGAACAAAGTTTTGCATTTTTTTTTTTAAATCAAACTAGCTAGCCAAATTCAGAATTTTCAATTATCTAATTGATATTGTAGAGTACGTTATACTGTATATTCGATCTACCGTGCAATCGATAGTAACAGATACAGAATTCACATTATAGGAAGAGCCAAAGCAGACGATTAAAAGTAATGATATACAGTACACCGTACTTTTTGCAGTGCTTAGTGATTATGACTAATCCACTTTTGCATTCAAATTATTGTAGAAACACTGACAGCAATACTGTAACAGAGTGATCAGTAGTACACTGACCTAGCATTTCAAAGCTAATTTTCACTAATAAATGGAAGTTAGAAAGAATATCTCAAGGTTAAGCCAAAGTCATTTATAACATTCCTACAGTATACAGCCATCTATACGCGTATTACTGTACTACGAAACCAAGCAAGTCTCGATTGCTGTTACTGTTAAAGGCAAACATTTTAAATTTTAATAACTAACAAAGATTCTTATTATACAATCAGAAAACACATGAGTAATGTAACTATTTTATAAGACTTGCAATAGTGAAATATCTGCAAGGAAACGAGAATAACATTACAGTATAAAATACTACAATTGTCGAATATGACAGTGCCTAGCATTATGGCTGGTATACACTGGAATACGGTATTCAGATTACAACATGCATACAAATCTATCGATTCTTAAAGATATATTGAACAAAATAGAATAAACGGATCAGCTGATCCCAAAATATAACATAACATTTGTATTAATTACATGGAGAAATTGTTTCATTGTCACTCATACTAACTATAGTCTTAAAGAAATGTATGAGTCTCGGAGTAGGAATAAATAAATACATGCTGAGTGTGCACGATAATGGATATTGCATTTCATTATAAAGAATATACTATAAAATATACTGCACTTAGTGCACTATTATATCGAAGCAAAATTGAACGAATTACGTCAATTTTTAAAGCTCGAAAGTATATTATAAATTTTGTAAGATCTATTTAATCGAACATATTTAATAGATTCACTTCACTAACTTCAGTAACATCAGATGTATCAATATAACAATGAATAAATATCTATTAATCTACAGTATTAAATTATGTAGTCATCTATTGGACTTTGGCAGTAACATGATATCTATTTTTTGATCGCAGCCTAAAACTTGTCTAGGTAACAATCCTTAGTATTCGTATATGGTAAACAGTTACGAAATTTTCAATCAGTTTAAGGCGCAATTGCCCACAATGTGATGGGCTTTGACAGGAAATGTAGCTGCTTACGAATAAGTAAATCGATTAAAAAACGCCATCAAGAATGAACCGGTGCTCTCGTTAGTATTACCGCGATCTTTATGTAATTTATAGTTTCGATTGGCCAACTGTTCTATTCGGCCAATGTCAGCATCTATTAAACTACTATTATCGTCGTTTGATACTTTATTCTCTTCTGTAGCCTCATCACAAGCCAAAGCTGTAGTAACGATGTTTCTGTTACTACCAGTATTGTTATCCTCATCGCCAACCGTGCTGCTGCTGCTGCAGCTATCATCTGCGGATTGCCGAATGGCTGTATCACATATTTTTTCATTGCTTATTGTAGCATTCTCCACCTGTACATTATCGGCTTCTAGTGCACCTGGGAGTTGATCTTTCTTACCACGGTCACAATCGGCTTTCTTTGATTTTTTTGCTGTGCTACCACTTGAACTGTTATGCCCAACATAGTTACTTTCAAGGCTTAGATGCTTTCTTTTTGATCTGGTGTTATTACTGCGTAAATTTTTATTTTTAGCAATAGATTGCAGCTGCTCCTGGTGGACTGGGTCATTTGAAATATTCTGTAGAAATAAGACAAATTCGAATTTGCTCACATTCAATCGATTATTATCGCGAAAGTATGATAAATCTTGGCCTTTATGCCATAATTTCTTATAAGGATAGGCGATAAATGTATCGCTGCGTATAGGGAATAAGCGTGATTCATGCTGTAAGATAAAAGTTATCATTCGTTTCATGTCATGGCGAACATCTCTTCTAGCCCAAAATTTCTTTTCCTCCTCAACGGTAGAGTTCTTATCTCGCTTGGCGAATAGTTTAATTTTATAAAGGACATTGCCGATCGTTATCAAGTGCATTTCCGACTGAGGTAATGTACTTTCTTCCATGATTGATATACGTTGCTATTTTACTGGATCAATTTTGGATTTTGCTGTTTGACTTTTACATGACCACCTCAGAAATAGGCTAAATACAAAGAAGAGAAATCGTTCTTATACAGTCTATTAATATCAATATCCTGCTTTAAGCTAATTATCAAGAACGTAAACTGTTGTCCATTGTCAAGTCTGCACACAGCACAACATTGTCAACCAAGAGTCTCCACGTCAATACAAGTGCAAAATAACAAAATATTTCCAATTTTACTGCAGTGTGCATACCTCCATAGAACTGTCCATTAACTCTTTGCTACAGCTAGCGATACTCAATAAGGACTGCCGCTACTTTTAATACCGCCAAAGCACCAAAATTGCTGTTTACTAGCTTTGATTCAATTTCGAATTAGGCGCAGTTTCCATAAATAGCCAGCACTAGAGGTAAAGTAAGGAGGGAGAGACGTTTAAATATGCACACAATAACTTGGCTACAGTACGGTGACAGTAAAGTTTTTAAGCTACTAGCCTGTACTGTACTGTACAGTACAAGTTAGTATAATTGAATGAATACTGTGTACTATAATGTACTGTACTGTATTGAGTGTGATTATTTTCGATGGCACCCTGAAAACATATAATTGTATAAGCTAAATCAGGCCCAAACTGGATAATTTCTATATTTGGTTGTAGCCTAATTTCTACGGGTATATGTAAATACTGTACAGGAATTTTAACGGAATACAACTTTAATTTTGGAACGAAGGGGAGACATCGAAAATAATCACATTGGTACATGCTGAGACTACAGTTAGAGGCTGATATACAGTACAGTACTGTACAGTATTCTACGTAGTCTGTTCCAGTACTGGAAGAGACAGCGTCTACAGTATATTTTTTGGAAATTTAGGTACTGTAATGTACAGTACAGTGTACTGTACTGCAGAAGAAGCCTACAATGTTATCATCATGTACTGTACAGTACTGTACAGTACTGTACGGAACTTTCCAAAGTCCCCATATGGAACTCACACTCTACCATACTGTCCTGTGGACTGTACCATAAACGCCGTTTTAGGCTACGGTACTGTACTTGACGGTCTATACAGTGCCTATATAATTGGACAATTTGCTTACTTCTCAGGGATTCAAGATTTACGTGCACGGTTCATCTACTTTTTTTAATGTTTTCCAGGCTGTGTCCAAAAAAAAGAAAGTAAAACGCGTCAGAAAAAAAAAGCACGCGTTGATTGATTGCCTGCTATTCCAACGGCGAAAAATTACAAATTGACTAACATTTCAAGGTAATAGTGCTGTACAGTTCATATTTGAAGTTGAGTTTTTTAGTCTATCGCAACTCCCAATGGAGAACCTGTCATTTTTTCCTCCAAACGATTGTCATGATGTGCGTTAAGAACTTCTTGCTCTTTTCTTCCATTTAGAAGTTGGCGTTTATCATTCATTCGGTCTATTTTAGGCACAACAACAACAGGACTTTCCGACGCTGCTGTACCTCTTCCTCCATTAATACAATACTAAATCCTGAGAATCATCGCCAATAGTTAAAAAGTACTATCAATTTACGCTACGAATAGCTTAAAAATGATCGCTTTCATAGACGATATTACGCGATATGCTATATTAACCATACGTATTTTTCTACTGTATCACCACGGTAAAACACGCACGCATCACTAATTTACCTATTTCTTACTATTTCCATGAATATTTCCAACTTCACGTAATGGCGGTTGAACAGATCATCTACCGCTATGAACGATTGATGTTAGTTATCCCTATCTATAGCAGAGTAATAAGAGAGGCAAGCATAGGCCGCCTGTAAACGATTAACGCTAAAACGGGCATTGGAAGATACCATTCCATAGTGATACAGTAAACGGCAGTGACCTTCTTGTTATACAGTACCACTATACGGTAGATAGCAACTATTGATTACCATGCCGTAGTATTATTACACTACTGATTCAATAACACTAATTCCATCCATATACAGTACACTACTCCATTGTGATGATAGAAACTGCACCTCGTGTTGAAGTTTTAGCTGACAATTAATTAATTATATCAAAGGCGTATGTATAAGCCAAGTAGGAAGCAGGGAGTGCGTCACTACGGATTGGGACAACTATCATGAAAATGCTTTTTAAGATAAATGATCATTAAATTGCAAGTTTGCTACGTTGGTGTAGAATACTTGCGGTAGTTGTACTGGACATTTATACCGTAAAAGTATATAGTCATTCGGTCAATAGGGCTTTAGCACTTTCTAAAGGAAAAAGTTGTGCAGGGAGTAATTCTGCACTTTACTGGTCAGAATACGAGAAATGAAGACTGAGAGGTGCCGTTCGAGTTATTGACTACTGCGCAACCGGAAAAGGCCATTTCAGTGAATGATTCAAGGTTTAGAATGTCTTAATTACACTGCTCAATGTCGATTGAAATACAGTCAAGACTGAGGAGGCACGGTATCTTCCTCCTCAGTTCGTTATAGAATACAGTATTGAGCGTTATGACAGATGAGTACGCGTGGCAAGGATTTCTTAGCCAGTACGGTAATAACCCGCGTACATCTGAAATAACATGTAATTCAAATATCTTTTAGCTATTTAAGTAATTTTACATTGCCAAAAGTTGTTTCTGTAGGCTGTAATATAGGCCGCAAGACGTATAGAAAATATATATATATATATATACTGTACATGATTCAGCCATTGATTAGTTTTGCCTACCTATACAATTTGCTAAAGATGCAGTGCAACTACAACACTACAGTACAGAGTATATGGCACATATGTAGTATTTCCAGATACTGTTCTATTATTACATCATAACTTCGCTAGACTTTGTAGTACAAACGGGATTTTCTTATTTCAGCCGTTTTATTTATTTATTGAAAGTCAGTATCAGTAATTACTACGATCAAGGGCTACTAAGAAACGATCTTTTTCTAGTATACCAGGTATTATATCATTTCATAGGCGGCGCAATTTGCTATTCTCTACTCCACTAAATTGTTTTGTTTCTAGTCCATTTTTTTGTGCCCTTCAGCAATGTGTTGCACTGACGGACAGACATCCTTTTTATGTTGCTACTGCATCACAGTATGCAATACTCGACTATACAGTGTACAGTACTTTATGTACAGATGGGAGTACTGTACAGTAGATGACCTTGTAACAGTATCACTCCTACTCCGTCATTTGCAGCAGAGACCACAGGGGTCGGTAGGAATTGACTGTAGAATTGTATAGTGCGATATAGTATGTTGACAACTTTGAACATACAAACAGTATCATCGTTTTCTTTCAATCCAGCATCCCTGCTGTTTCTGTAGTACTCGATTAATTTCTGCTGTGTGCAGTTGGCAGTATGGCTCTTGTTGATAATACTACATGTTGAACTTTTTGCCACTCTCTTCTGTTTCTACCACCACGGACTATTGTATCAGTGACTGTATTCCATTAACTGCGCTTTATAAAATACACCATTCGACCTAAACGCTTAGTTGACCTCGAAACCCATCAACCGGACAATGACACTACCATTTGCATTGAAGATAAGCGTGCCGTGCTCAGTCAGTAAATTATTAACTTTGAGATGAAATGATAAAATGCGATATCTCCGATGGATAATTGAAGACGTATCACTTTCATGCTTATAACACATACAATAATAATGTACTGTAATCGTGTGTAGTAAGCGCAATAATGATGGAAAACGCGATACGTCGCAAATCGTCTTTTCGACATGAACACCAATTACTCTACAGTACAGTATGGGAAATTAAAAAAACGTTCGTGCAGTAGGTTATAAGAAACGATCCCCTAGTAATGCTGTGACTTGATAAGTAAATCAACCCTTCGATACAGCGTGTACAATTATTGTGTAGTAATTGTATGTTATATGTTAGTAGTAGAGAATAGTTGGCAGACCTCATTGCGTAGTAGTGACTATACCGAATCATTTTTTTGCAAAGTATGCGACATGCAAATTTCAACCTTGAAAAGCTGCGCATATCAACCGCGTGAAAATGCAGTACTTTCCTATATGAACGCATTACATCTTTAATAATGATTTAGATTTAATCGTTATGTATGCATTTGAGTGAACTTTACTAGTACTAGCTCCGTTATTAGCGTTTCGAGTCATAATTCAATCTTATACGGTCTAAATTGCACAGTACCTATAAAAATAATAATTATAGTTTAATTGGTAATATTTATCTAGTTGATTTTTCTTTTCCGCTTAGATAAAAACTAACTATAATAATTGTTGAAGCTGCCGTGATTATAACATATGGTGCACATGGTTAGTACAACCGACTTATTTACAATCATTTAGACTTTAACTTTCTCTTTCAAAGAGTGCATGAAACATAGATCAAATGAAAATTGCTTACCCTAACTTTGGTTTTCTTTTATGACTTCACGTTAGGCCTCTGGGGGAGATCCGAGAGCGTTGTTAAACGCCTTAAGTTCAATGTTAGGAACTTCCGGATGTATAAAGAGTGCTCAAGAAGTTGTCAGAATAATAAGGTAATCTCAATTGCTTCGATTTAATAACAATAATTCAGAAATGCAATCCAAGAAGTAAATCAGTTAATTGGATTAGTTCACTAAATCTACCACTAGATATACGTTTCCAGTAAGACTGTATAACGGTAATTATAATTATCGACGTAAGCAGTGTTAAATTGATCCACACTTTGACTTGGAAAGTATATACTAACTTGGAGATAACTATTCTAGTTTAATGAAAGATGCTACACAGACGATGAGTCAATGTGTATACTTGGATATTCTTAGAGCGACGTCAGACCATCGGAAAACATTAGAAAAGTCGGTATCGTAGCAATTAATATCCATTTGATACTGAATTTGTAATCAAATAATGTGTTCCAAGGTTTAAACGAGCCTAATACTTAATACATACTAATGTCAATGTATTTTATGTATAGATTTGTTACAGCAGGTGGATGGGAAGTTTTAAATAAGTGGTTAAATGAGGCTAAAGAATCCAACGATACGTGTTTACTTTCGAAAATTTTATCAGTAAGAGAGTATACCACGTTATATTACTTTATAGTCGAATGTAATGACTACAGAGTATGCACAGTGTAATCTCTGTAAAATTTCTATTATCCCTCCTTTAGGTTCTAAAATATTTACCTGTATCTGTAAATATTCTAAAGCAGGTAAAATATACTAAAACTGTTATTATTTATTATCTGAATCATAGACATTTTATGCTTTACTACGAAGCAATATTTACTGTGTTGATATTTCTTTCAGGGTAATGCTGGGAAGACTGTAAAAAGCTTAATTAAACATACTCCAGGTATATAACACTGCCAGTATAAGAAATTGTTACTGTAAGAATATTATTATGTAACAACCTATCTCAATATTATATGTATATGTACAATTATGATAATTTAAATAGAGGTAAAAGATGTAGCAACTGATATTTTGGAACAATGGAAAGAAGTAGTCCGCAAAGAGACAGGTGGTAAGTCGGCGATATTGTATCTCTGAAAATATAATACACAAGTCATAGTTTGCGGTAAGATGATAAACTTCTAATGTTTAAATCTAGTTCAAGATACCGTTTCATCTATGAAAAGAAAAAAAGAGAAATTAGAAGATGATAATGAACTTGCTAAGAAAGCCCGTAATGTTACGAAAGTACCCAATAGCAATAGTGTAAAACTAGAATCACCCAACGACTCTACGATAAATAACAATCAAATTAGAAAGCAACCGTGAGTGCTACAACACTAGCAGTTTCATTGACTTAGATGTAATTATTTACCAAAATTTCGTTATCTACAGTGTTAAAGTACCAATATCAAATAAAGCGAAGATAATGACAGCCAACATTCCTCCTACTAAGCCAAAGTCTACTGCCGCAACTCTTGCAACCACGATTACTGATAGTAGTTCCTTCATGGACGCTTTATCTGTCTCCGTTAGTAAAAAGCGTGCAAAGAAAGCTCAGTTATCTACTATCAAAAGCGGCCAACTACCTTCACAAACTGCTACATCCCCTGTAGACAAAACGTAAGTAATCAAGTCAACTTAATCTTCAGTAATACAACTATAATTTTAAGTATATTATCATTTTTTCTTGCTCTCAGATTTCCTTCCCAGTCAGTTTCACCCGATCATGAAGTTAATTTTCCAACTATTAGCGAACCGACCATTCAGCCTATTCAATCAGAAGCCACAGTAGAGAAAACTGTTGATCCAGTGGATCAACTTTCTAACAATATGAAACCGGTTAAAATTGGAAAGAAAAAAAAAAGGGTTACTTGGGCTTCTGAGCCAAATTTAACGAGGTTTCGTTATTTCGAACTAGATGAAAGTGAACGAGTCAATGTTCGTTCTCATAGCTTTCACGATGCGCAATACATGGAGATGATGAGAGAAAGACAAACACTTCAGAATGCGAAATTTCAAGTGGTAGATAACATGAAGGAAACAATTGCTTGGAGTAAGCCAGCTTTAATTGAATTTGCCTCAGGTAGAGGGGGACAAATAACCGACCGACGTGTTCACAGTGATGAATGCGTAGCGCAGGTATACATGCATTGCACGCTATTGTGAGCCTTTTAAATAACTAATAGTTGGAATAAAACATTTGTTTATCTAGGAAAAGAGAGAACAGACAGTATTAGCGGAGATTTTTTTCTCTAAGGATAGAGTATCTGATAATCCTGCAGAACCGGATTTGGAAGATCTACCTTCTACTACTTCATCGAAAGATCCAACAGTAATTCCTTTAATTCCTGTTCCTGATCCTGATCTGGATCTGTCTGAAGCTGGTTCGTCACTTGCATCAACAGATGCTGGTAGGTATTCACTCCCTCCTGAAATAGCAGACCTTATTACCTCAGCTGCGTCATCGCTAAGGACACATGGAAGCTCAGATACCGGTGCTGCAAAAGCCGTGCAACTAGCCGCTAAAATGATGCATACCGGAGGTTATCAGGATGAACAATATGCGCCTGAATTAGGTGATCGTGTAACTCCACAATATGAGGATGAAGAGTTAAATCATGAGTTTGAAGAGGACCCACACTACTATAATTATCCGCACGATCACCCAGATCAACCTCCGGATCGATTTGTCGGCCATGGTCCACCAATGCGAGGTAAACGATTCCCTGGTGCAAGAGGTGGCCCAAGAATGCACCATTGGCGTGGAGGCCCTCCAGGTCCTGAAGGTCCCCCAGTGAGAGGGATGAATCCTCCCCGAGGGCCTCGTATGCCAGCAGATCACTTAGATAGGCCTCCATTTGAAGATGAATATGGTTCTTATCCAAACGAGGAATTTGCATCCATTGGGCCGGCTCCAGTACCAAGCCATCGAGGTAGAGGTGGACACCACCCACGGGGTCGAGGGCGCCGAGGAGGACGAGGAGGCCGAGGCGGAGGAGATGCAGGAGGTACGAAAACTGCTCCGTATTACTTACGTTAGCGTGCAGTAACATTCCAACTATAGTTTTTAGCGAGTTCGATAATGATTTTAATTCTTCTAACAGAAAATAGGGTTTGTCGCCATTTTATAAAGAAAGGCCACTGCCGTTATGGGAATGAATGCTCCTTCCTTCATCCTGGTGTCAATAGTCCATATTTATAGCACAAGCGGAGAGTCGTTTGACAAATATTTAGTCTATTATTAGAAAATAATTTATTTGAAAGTACTGTTTTGTAGGTAACTCCTGAAATTCGTAATGAGGTCAATGATATTTACTTGTCATCTTCACGGTAAATGTATAATTTATTATGTGAATACTATTGGTTAGAAAACGTCATAGACATTGGTTGCTGAATGTTTTGTGGTTATTTGTAATAGATTGAGCGTGACTTTTTAAAATGATTCTTTAAGTGAAACGATAAACAATCTAAGAGAAGAATTATATTTTCGAATTGTACTGTACATATCACATACAACAAAATAACTATTATTTTGATTATGAAATGATGTACTGGTCTCCTGGTACTATATGGTGTCTGTTTGATAAAATAAGAGAATGACTACCAAAGAATGTAACAAATGCAATGACTTATTGTTTCCTTTGAAAGATAAATCATGGAAACTAATTTATAATGATAAAAATGTTTTATCGCCTTTCTTGCGAATGAATTTGTGCTTAAGAACCGGCCTAAGAGCTAACTAATATGAACGATGGCGCCAACAATGAGCTATAACTTGAACGTCTACCGCATTTTTTTTATGGATTACGTAACGAGATAATACCGCTTGTGTAACTATAATAAAAGTAACAGCAGCATTTTGCCGCAGCACTCACTTACGTCCATGCTTTAATTACGAAGAACACTATAAAAGTAAGTAAATATGCATACGAATATGCATATTCACGTAGAAGTCACACATTAATCGTGCAGTCTATGTTTTTGATCGCAGTAAAATTCATAACTTCCAACTACAAGCATTGCTGTCATAGTTCATTAACGCATGTTGTACTCACGATCAAAAGCGATCAACGTTAACAAGACTCAATACACAAGTACTGTATATAGCGCATACAGCAATGTACAACATAATTAAAACTGTAGCATTTTTTCGTTAAATAGCCAATTAATCACGGTAACTTCTAATACGTTTCTCGGTGGGATATCAAACATAGCTTGTATTCAATCACAGCAGTTATGATAAAGTTTACTTTTCAGTCTTTACTTCATAAAGAGCACATGATTTGCAATTACGTATGATAATAATATGTAATATTGATACAATAATTTACGAATGACAATTAAATCTTCCATTATTCTCATAAACTATCACGTTTAGTAAAAATCTAATTTTAAGATAAATTTTAATATGGTTAAGGCCATATCAGTTGTGCGTGCAAATTTATTTTTATATACGAACTTGATAGATACATCAATACAAAATTGCATTGTCATTATCTTTATTAGCTAATATCTCACTCTTTGTAGCAATTACATGATGTAAACTACATCTATCCATAGAATAAAGATATTTTGTACAATATACTACAAGATTCCTCTTAAAAAATCTCCCTACATGTTACAAAGTGTTAGATACACTAACACCTAACATTGTCAGCTATTACTAGCTAAGCTATTTTATTCCTTAGTTACAGAAATGCACACTGGACCCTCTATGTATAAAATAATAACACGAAGCGCCAATGCTAGCGCTAAAGAAAACATAAGAAGCTTAATACTAATAAATCATCTAAACGTGAATTATATCCCTCCTCATATTCTGCTTAGAATTTCATCTGTAGTGTAAAATTCGTATTGAACAGATAAATAATTCATAATATAATATTAATATTTTAATCCAAGACGTTAGTTATACATCATCCTTTAGTGAATGCATAATTAACGCAAAATATCACGCTACTTAATCCTTTGGCTATAATCGGGCCAGTATTTTATTATTTTCACCTATACGGACTATGCCACTAATGGCCCGCTATAGCTAGAAATTATCACAACGGCTAGCTATTCTATGTGTCAGCTTGACCTAGTAATTTCAAGAATGTACATTTATACATCCTAAAAGGTAGCATTTTCTTACACTCTAGAGCTGCGTGACCTATCTTACTGCCGTTTTACGCTGTGACAGCGTTTATACCCACAACACTTTTAAATTTTATTCCTCAGCAGACAGAATTGAAATTAGTTCTTTTAATATCTCAATTTGAACACGATTGGCCATGCATTGTTATCTGTTATATACAGTAGCTTGGCCGTAACAACCATACTAGGCTGTTAAGCAGCGCCATCTATGCTAAATTACTGATGTAAAAAGACTTAAATAAAATTATATAAAATAAAATTTCAATAAGCATATCGAGATTCCATTCACGAATCTATTTAATGCATAAGTAATAATATATAGGACAAGGTATTTCAATTAAAATAAGCCAAAATCGAGCTAATCCATCTTTTCTGCATAAGCGTACTTCAGCAACGATAACTAGTTGGGTTAAAATAAAATACAGAAATAATTACTTAATGGTACCTCTCTAATTTCTAACGATTCTACTAATTCATCAGTGAATAATCTTACAACGTAACGAATATCAACTAATGGCCTTCATTTATGGTTTACTTTTCAGAACAAGCAACCATAGCCAAGTTATAATAAGGTGTAGAAGGTGGCGATCGATGTTAACCGTAGTGTCACCGTTAGCGACAATTAAAAAATTGTAAACTTGCCCAAATAAAGACAGCATAGATTTATTATCGGTACAGTATAAGAGACAAGAAAAACAAGTCAATTACAACGAAAAAACAACAACAATAATAACAATAACAACTCAATCTGGATAACTAGCTTAGCGCAAAGAAAGCGCTCATTTTCAATTTCTAATTTCTATCAAAACAAAAATTAGACACTAGACAGAAAAGATTTACAGTATTAGCCAAAATATGGAGCTAGAAGTTGCTCTTGGAACTAAAACTCATTTCAGTAAATGTCTCGCAAGTGTAATCGGAAATTTTGGGTGTAATACGTACTGCAAAAATTAAACATTTTACAGTATATCGCCATCAATAATTGATTATTATAGCACAACCTCAAGTTGAAGGTAGTTTAGTACTAATTAAAAATTTTTCTTGCAGTGACGATAATCACTGTTGCTGAAGAAAAATGTTTTACACAAGTGAATACCTTAAAAGTATGATGTCCCATGCATAAAATCCGGAACTAAACTTATCCGTTTGCTGCAAAAAATTACTATTGCGTGCATTGTAATTGTAAATTTTAAAAGCAATGATGGCACCGATGCTGGAGTTAAAGCTATATTTAGTCATCGTAAGAATCTTTGTATCTTAGCTTGATCAGAAACTCACTAATATAGCATTTAAACCTTAAGAAAGATTACTAGACAATGTTTCCATTAAGCAAAAAGTAGAAGCTGTGTAACAGCTTTGATGACCAAACGTATTATTATAGCGAGACATGCTAACATGTACACTCTTGTTTACTCCGTAACACCTACCAAAAGGAAAACGTTAAGCCCTTTTCGAGCTGCAAGTTGATAGAAATGCAATTGTCTTATTGCCGTAGCATAAAGTAACTAAATGCATCGTAATTGGTCCAACTACCCAATATTACTTCCACCAACTGTTGTTTGTGAAATTTGCCTCGGAACAGAATCAGTATCGGACACAAAAGTTTCCTAAATACTGTACAAATCAAGATTGATTATCGACAGTTATTGATCGAAATAATTGCAACCCCAACAACACGTGCTAGATATTAGTAGTGCGGTCAAAAGTGATAATTTTATCTTATGACAGCCATTGGATGTTGCTGTAGGAGCGCCGCCTACCCTATATAATAATTGTTATCCATTACAATTGATTTTCATTCAGTAGCCTATACATATCTATTATAGACAATGAATAGATCAAAATCAACAAACATCCAATAATAAAAGTTCATACAGCGTATAATATTGCTTTTCTTTTATTACATTTGATATCTGCATGAGATATAGGGCATTGCAAAGCAGGCAATGTAGACTGATTGTTGGCCAAGAAGTTATCATAAAACATGTATCTCATTAACCTACTGGACATCGAGCCATAGATATATTTATATTATTGCCGTAATTGAGCTCAGGAAAACTAATTACTTTCATTCTATGCTGTACACCAAGTAAAGATGAAGCTTTAATCCTAATATAAATTTTTCATCCTTAAAATCAAAGAATGGATAAAAGGTAAGGAAAGTATAATTAATCACAGAATTGCACATTCCACATTTTCATTCTTGTGATTTCTAATTTAGTAACTAAGTAGCTACAATATTCAGGGAATATGCTTATCTGTTGTATGAGCTCTTATTAAGCATCGCTATTTCTCTAAATTGTTCCCATTTTATCTTAAAGTTAATAGAATGATATCTTATACGGTACACTATATAGTCCGTTAAGTGTTAAAATGGCACAGATATATCGTAAATTCTTTGGACAATAATTCTTTTGTCACTGTAAGGAAAAACACTTCTATAAGTTATATAGTAAATTGGCCATGCAGATCCTACACGAGTAGAAATAAATCTACAATATGTTTAGAATAATGAAAATATTTAATATACTGAAAGACGCATATAAAAACTAGACGATGAAGTGAAGCATATTAGCGATCTTTTAAAATCAAATTTTTTTGACTTTTGCGCTACGGTACTATAATTGTTCATATTTTGACCTCAAATAATCAGCTATTATCGGATCTTTTAAGATTACCAAATAATCGTAAATAAAGTAGAAGATAATTTACCATCTATCGATTTACGCTAGAAAGCACTTGCGCTGTATCTGTTATCACTTAATTTTGAACAGTTCTGTTGATACTATCGCTAGTAAATGCGCTAACTGCATAGTCTACAGTAATAGCCCATACAAAAGATTATAACTCCAGCTTGCCATATCAATTACACGTCCTGCTATCAAGTACAGAGGTTTGATAGCAAAGTAATTAATTATTTTACTATATGCCGTATCTAAGGCATAGAAATAAAATAATCGTAAATTAACAATAGTCCAAGTTAAGATTGATCTTGTTCACAAATACTTCAGTTTACTACGCGTGTACGGGTTATGACTAGCTAAAGAGATTAATACAGTATATCCGTAAAACAGAGCCGCAATATAGAGCAAAAGATATTAGCGTAGGTTTATGTAATGGAGATTCAAACAATATTCATAAAAGAAACCTCACTACAAAATCATTATTCAATAATTATATCATCAGACCACTCAGAGAAGACTCCATCATTGCAGTAACCTAAATTAACATTAATTTAACTGTTATATATTATTATGACAGCATAGATTACAGTTCAGTACGTAAGAGAAATAGATACTTTCTTTACTGTTCACCATTATGGCCTTCAGGGTAATCATTTTTATGCTATTTGATTTAAAAGCAGTGCATAAAAGCGATATGGTTAATTATTATTTTTTAAATTTCAATTCTCTGATTAAAATCCTGCATGCTAAAGGGTATAATTCTAAATTTGTGCCGACCTGTGAGCATTTAAACTATATATATATATCTCGTATGAGCATGTTGAAACATCCTGGGTAGCTTACTGAACTACTGCAATTTTAGACTATTTCCAATCATTGCTGGCGTCGAGCTTATAATACCCTCGTGGGCAATATGTATGAATAAATTTATTAAGTGGTAAGAAAATACACAAGAATAAGCAATGGGAAAGTAAAATTAAACTGAAATGCATTCAGAATCGGTCGATTACGAGTAATAAACGAAAATTATCGATATCAATAATTACAATTCTAGGATCATGAGTATTGCACATTGCAATATACTGCCATAATCAGATTAATTGGGCACAGTAAGGCGATTGCACTCTATAAAAAATTAGGATATACTGTATATGTATTTTACGAGAATTCATTGTAAAGTTATGACACGGTAGTATGTACGCTATATACAGTATTAATTGTTCGTGTGAATATACACACAGGAGCAATGTAACTAAATAGTTACATCTGTTAGACACAAGCTCAACCATAGGTATCATTTGGGGGCATCATATCCATAGAGTGTCAGTAATATATGAACTAAAAAAACAGCAGAGTAACGACTATTGGTAATAACTAATGTTATCCTCTCATATAAGACTAAAATTATTAAAATCACATTTACTGTATAACACAAGTTAACTGCAGCATACTGTAAGGCAGAAATTATGAGTTAGATTGCACTTCTTCAAGACATTATACTGTACAATTTTACATCCGATATATGGATGAAATGTCAAATTTACCAAAGAAGGCCCAAATTAATGGACGTTATATGCAGTCGAATAATGAATTCAAGAAAATACTATATATGCTATTCAGGTATCAATAGCTACCCACGTATTTAATGTCTACAGTACATAATAATCATCTAAGATTAATCGCTAACTTCAGCCCGACTAATAAAGATTGCCATTAAATTTTATTTTTTCCTGGAGAAATCAGTCTACTATAATATTTATGATTTACGACGATTTTAATAGTTTTATATATAGCGATATCGATTAATAAACCTTCATGGACACATTGTACTAACTCAAATGGTATCTATTCCTCCAACGCAAAATGATCTATCTATCAACTGAATGCAATAATACATAATTTTACCTTTTACTGTATTAGCTATAGAAACTATTATAATACAGCATTATAGTGGACGACCCCATTTTGTATGGAATATTGCCAAGTACAGTAGGCTTGCAATTGTCTTCTAGTAGTCAGCTATTCTTCTCTCCTTCTCTCTATGCATTGATGCTCATCATCTTTATTCTATCATCTCCATTGACGACTATTATTCTTATATATTAACAGTATTAATTATTAGTACGCATTCAAAGTCATGATGAATCACCTTTACCCCTCCCTCCAACCTACCTTTCATTTCCACCGACAAAACCCTATATCAATCTATTGTCAAAATTTTACTCTATTCTATTTTTAAGTTGAAGAATTGGATCATCATCACTTCCTTCTATGCTGACATGATCGTTGGACTGTATATTTTTTTATTTTTTTTTAAATAGTCAATCGAAGTAATATATTGATATCGATGACAAGTATTATTTTTTGACATCATCAAAATTATATTTATCTACTGTATAATACATACTTAACTGTAAATACAATAAGTGTTCAATTCATCGTCGTTTTTTTTTTTCTATTCCATTACTATAATTTGGAAAGTTTTATTCTCATTGCAGCCGTATGCATGATTGTATCATCCTGTCTATGGGCCATTACACAATCTATTGAATGTACATATATGTGTATTTTGCTGTCCACACATTATCGAGATTTGTCTCCTTTTTCTTTACCATCCTATTTTCCGTGGCGGCTGTTTCTTTTGTATTCATCAATCTATCGACAACCATACTATATTTTCTTATTTAATCTAGTTGCTAAACTAAGTAACTGTGTTACCATCAGCTACAGTGCTGGTGTAGTTGAGAAGTAATCAGCATTAAAGAAAGCTACCCGATTGATATCATAAAAATTAGCCAACAGCCAACTTTACGAACAGTTAGATTGCTATGCTTCCATCGCCATCATCTAATCTTATAATTCTGTTGTAATATTAAAAAAGTTCTTATGAATGATTTAAAATCTCAACTATACAACCTAGACAGAGATCACAGATTACCGGTCTCCTTTCATAGGTTTTGGTAAAAACGAGCAGAAATTGCAGAAGAACCCATCTAAAAGAGATCAAGAAGATTATTCACTGCAGATTATTACTTTTTGGACAACGTTAGTTATCCGGTCATAAAGCTTGGCAAACTGGTAAATTATTATTTTATCCATGACTTCTACTATGGCATCAGGTAAGAGCAATATCTTGAAAATGTTGAAAATTATTTTTAGGCTATGTAAAAGAAATAGGACATTGATGAACTAATTAAAAATCATTCGATAAGATCGAAAAGATTTAATCATACATCGCTATCTATTTACCAAATCGATTCAACATTAAAGCATCTATTACATCATTACGATTAGCTCAGTTTGTAGATGAATGGATATTATTGACGTATTGCATCTATGCAGTTAAAAGAATTTAGTTTACAGATGAGCTCAAAAGGCTACATCAACTGTCTGCCTTCTAAGGCGTTTAGTGTTAAATCATAGCTGAGGATTATCCATACATAGATTACATCTAGATCACAGTTTTGACCTCTAATTTTTCACGTCAGGATCTTGCTACTTTCCATTTACATCTCAGAATCAATTGTTGCACCCTTTCTACATGTTATCAATGTATACACAAGCTGTAGACACTATTCTTCTATCAATAATTGCGATTAGTCAAATATACTTACTAGGAATAATGTACTACCAAGTTTTAAAGTTATACTACTGCTCTAGAATTAATTTTAATCCGTCTTTCTCATTTAAAAATCGTAAATAATTACTTGTTCTATCTGACCGGATGATTTTGTTTGGCTATTTCTCAATACTGTATTAAAACTCAGCTATAACTTATTCTATTTCTGTTATAGTTGACAATCGTACTGCTATGCCACACTCTTTATTAGCAATTAAGCAGAAGTGCACTGGCTGCAATCAACTCATTCAAGATAAATTTCTATTAAAAGTAGCCGACGATTTATGGCATGAAGATTGCCTAAGATGTTATAAATGTACTCAGCCGTTGTCTAAAAGTTGTTATATCAAGGATCACAAGTTATACTGTAAAGAAGACTACGATAAGTAAGAAACTTTGCTGTAATGAACAATGCACACAATTTTAGTCAAATAAGGTATTTAATGTAGGTTTGAACGATTTTTATGGTAAGGAATCGTACGATGACCATCATCTATCGTTGTTCAATATTTTTCTAGTCTTATAATAGTATAGTTTAGTAGCTACAGATTTTGAAAGGTTAGGACATTGTACGATTGTCATTACAACATTTTAACATGCTCCTCGAGTGTGGAGCCACTTTTATGCCAGGGTATTCATATTAGTCAGTCCACCATTATATAAAATGGAAAATCTTGATTTCGTCTTCAACTTTTTTGTATTATTGCCTTTTGTTAGGGCTATAATAGTGATTATTGTTATTGGAGTTTTTCCCTCACTTTAAAGATATGCCAACCCCTCTAAGTATCATAAAAACGAAGTTGATTAAAAATTTAGGCATCAATTTTTAATTTCGTGCATTCCAGTGGTGCATTATGGAAAAGTTGAGTTTTTTAATAGTAGTAGTGCAGTCACGTAATCGCCAGTTGAGGCGATTACTTAACGATTGGTTAATGGAATAAATTAAGGTAATGTACTCTTAGTTTAAAGCTAATATCTTACTGCTTGTATTTACAATCTCTGTAGCGCTGCTGTCGTGACATGATCAATTTGGTAAATTGCTAAATGTTCCATTCAGAATATACCTTTACGTAACAACCTCTCTCATCCTTATCTTTATGAACTATATCACATATAATCTATAAATATAGATTCACATAACGCTATCAATAATAAAATAGCTAATGGAAGTACATGCAATTGAGACGATAAATAGGAGTATATCTAAAGCACTTGTTTTGGATTGCGTGGAATTACTGTATATCATGTAAATCAAAAATAAAAATTAATATGACGATTCAGAAGTTTTAAGTATTTAGTTTTAGTTATTAAATAGGCGAATACAGTAAATTTTCCTGATATGAGAATTTTGAAATAATATTTCAACAGCAACGTATAGAAGTATCAGAAAGTGCTCTACATGAGCATTTTTATGTCCAATGATAATGTAATTTATATATATATATATATATACTGCTGCCTAAACAATAAGATATTTTCTGTTTGTGATCAATACTACAGTAATGATTATAAAGTATTGAGAAAGGTAAAATCTCATCAATCATACCACGTCTCTCATATAGATCTTGATAATTAACATTACTGAACCGGCGATAAAAGCATATTTTCTAAGCTAATTTTTCACTATTTATTTTGGTTAACTCAATGATCACTCTAACAACTACATATCAATAATGGTGTAATGTATAGTTTCCTAATAAGTGGATGTCCTGTAGTAATTTTTAGGAAGTCCAATTCTATAATATATTATCTAAGTATTATAAAGAATAACTCACTATTTACTAGGTACATAATGGCTATGTCATGGTAACTAACTCACTTCTAGATGTTGATATGCATACACAGACATCGAATAGACTTCTTATGACGAGGTTGATATTTCCTAAATTATTTTAGTCCATTTTGCTTCCTTTCAATTCGTTTTCATTCATTTTTCAATATACTTCCATCATCGATCATGGTTGCTCTTGTTGGCAAGATAATACAGTTTCACTATTCTAGTTAGATAGAACATTACTATACCAACGTACAGTATGCTTGCTATTAACAATTCTTTTAAATAACTTCTTTTATCCGTTTCATTGGTTGTCTTTTTATTGTTCCATTTACTGGTAAGCCATTGACGACAACTACACTACATTCTACATTGATCAACCTTTTCGAAAGGAGGTGCAAATTTGATCATCTGCATCACTTATACTTTTAAAATTATCAAAACATACAATATCTATATTTCATCAAACACGTAGATATCGATAATAGGATAATTATGCCTACCTACTGAAAGAAAACTATCGATCAGTTTTTATTGTGTACTTAAAACATTAAGAACATAATACTATGGTTCCTAGATCGTTCTTACAATATTCATCGTTATATTAAAACTGGCTGCTTTTACGGGCATTACAATATGTGACAATACTCGCTAGTATGGAATTGCAATATTGATCGCAATTACCTTCTTCGTTATCGTCATCATCATTTACAGCTTATTTATTTTTGCTCACAAATAAAGGTAACTCTTAAAATTTATTTAAGTTTCGAAACTGAATCATTAGCATCGTCAATATGAAATCATGTAAGCCATTAGTGATCCCTTCAAACTATAAAATTGACTATTTCAAATAGCATATGCTAAAACAAATATAAAACCAACTTAGCTTTAGTTTATCTAATATTCTAATAGTGATATCGCTTAAATTTTGTCACGCGATGAAATTAACACCCCTGCTTAAGCCTGAATCTTCATATCATCACTTGCGTCTCCTATCTATTTTTTAATATAAACCAATAACCGATAATTCTAATTAGCCGTAACAAACGGATCATAATAAGACTCCAATATTTTAATTTTGTCGTCTGGGATAATAATGTACTTATTATAATTATTGGACATATAATGTAATAATTTATTAGATCTACTGGAGGAGAATAATACCAGACAAATTAGTAGGGTATAAAAAAATACTGTGGCTAGTGTACATTGAAATATTCAGTCAGTGTTTACTGAAACGATTATAAATCATCTAGCTACCCCATTCACTGTAAACCACAATTAATTGGAGAGGCGATGGTCTACTCCAGGTGATATTTAAATTTAGCCTTTCAATTCATTCTCTTTATCATTTCCATTTCATAATCTACATAAATATATTTACTTTGACAGATTACTGGTCTATTTGGCAACATCTTGTCAAGTAGACTATTTAACAATATCTGTCAATCTTTTAAATTCAATATCGTAGCCATCATTAGTGATTCAGAAACATTCAACCAGAAAATTGAAATAAGACTTAAAGCAATTCAATTAATACTGTCTATTATCGGTATTCAGACAGCTACAGTTATTTCTTCATTGAAACGATAAACATTCTCCATCCTGCAATACCTGTTCTGTATATTGAAAATGGATAGGATGATGGAACAATGATAGCATATTCTAAGAATTTGCATATATTCCTACAGTATTACGTAATAATGAAAGATTTTGTCGATAGAAACGAACCGTAATTGATGAAAGTTAGTAAAATTCTAATCATTTATTTATATAACCACTTTCGAGACCATCCTTAACGTATAATCTTATTGCTATTTTCCTTATTCTATAAGCAACTCAGTCTGGAAACCTTTTTTAGTAATTTACCCACTTAGTCCTCACAGTATCCCCTGATATGTTTCTCTATCAATGAAATTCGTTTTGAATTTACGCCATAAACTACAAAATTACTCACAGACGTTGTTACAAGATTATAGAATAACTTATTCACGTCTAAAATATTAGGTTGAAATTATTGTTTCCATTTCACTGTAGAAGCAAATCATTTAAGCATTACCGTTCATGCCATATAATTGAATTTGTTAATTTTAACATCAGCTAAAAGCTATTCCTTGAAAATGAGCGAGCAATAATACTCTAATTTACTATTTTAAGGTTATTTTTTCCTTGCTTGTAATACACGTTTCAAATTATCGAATATTGCACTGTAGGCTGTTTGGTACTCGATGCGATGGCTGTGGTCGCATTATTGCTTCGAAGCAAGAATTAGTCATGAAAGCTCTCAAGAAAGTTTATCATGTTACATGTTTTTTCTGCCAAATTTGTAAACGACAACTTAAGCGTGGTGATGAATATATATTAAAAGATACAAAGTTGTATTGTAGAGCTGATTATGACAAAATTACCAATCCCTCCTTTGCTAACGTAGCATGGAATGAAGAAGACATAGGTATGTTAAAGAATGGTCAACGTAGCATCGATAGAAAGTCTATAGAATGGGTTGCCATCATTGATTAATATTTTTATATTAGTAAATGCTGATTTATCGCTGGCTATATTAGAAGAAGAAGAAGAAGAAGAAGAGGAAGAAGGTTCTCCATCAATGGATAATAAAAGGAAAACAGATAGTTACGAAGACCAATCCAATAATGCCAAAAGGCAAAGAACTGTATTAAACCCTCAACAGAGAAAATTATTCCATGATTCTTTTGAGAAAAGTTCTAAACCTGGCAAAGAGGTTACTTTACATTAAACGAGCACAGTAACTTAATAATTGGTCCGCCTAGTTTAGTAGTCAAGGTTCAGACCATTTTGCTTGATATGCTTCTTACCTTCGCTCCAATAGGTTAGAGATGAATTATCACGTAAAACAGGACTAAGCGCTCGAGTAGTTCAAGTCTGGTTTCAAAATCAACGAGCAAAAGTAAATAGCCTGTATTGCAATTTCAGAATTTAGTTATCATGACTGTATTATTATAACATTACCTGTCAATTCCTGTAGTTGAAAAAAGAAAATCAGGAAACGAAAGGAACTAGAAGTCATAAAGGATATCGAAAATATTCTTATCGTGATGAAAATTCCAGTCAAAGTAGGTGTCTTAAATTAGAGTATCATAAAGGATCTGAGGCCCCTTAGTAAACTATTGCAGGCATACAGTATGATATTTTTTATCGTTGTTGTAGTAATACTATTGCTGTATTTCTCCTAATACCAATTTACTAGGTGACATGAAAGATTCCGATAGCTCAGACGCTGGAGAATATTCAGGAAATAAACAAGACTAGGTAGACTAGCTTAACACTGATTCAAAATGAGTCGTAAAAATTGTAAATCAATGAGCGTATAATATACTAGATGTCTTTCTTAATTACAGATTTTTCATTTTCATTTCCATCATAAAAATGCTCAAAAGCAGCTTTAGCAATATTTGATAAATGGCTCCTTTTTTTATTTTTACCCATTACTTCTGTAATGTGAATTGAATAAACGCAATTGCTAATTCATGATCAATTCTATTTACAGTCTATCGATTATGGTGAAGAAAGGAATGCTTTGATCTACGCAGCCAAGCGATTGGAAAGAAATATCTTGTTTTTCAACTTAAAACA